TTGGTTCAGAAGAGGAAATGTTAGATAGAGGAGCAATCACTGTCACCCAAGATGAAGAACATTCTAGTAGTTGGTCCCCACCAAACAACTACCCAACCAAGGACTCAGGGTTACACACTGCAGCAAGTTTCCTCTGGAAGAAGGAATGAGTTATTGTCTTTAAAATCTCATCTTTAAATTTTGTTAGAACTACAGTCTTCAGATAGTACTTTCATTCAAAATGCACTTGCCAAGCACCATGCAATCCGCAGACAAAAGATACTTTTCCTGCCCTCAGTTCATCGTCTAATATGGAAAAATGGCTTAAATTTTACCACAAGTGCAGGAAAAGGAGAGCTACAGGGAGCAATAGAGGAGAGAAAGAAATGGATGGGACTTTGGAAGTTCAGAGACAATTTCACATAAAGGTTGATAGGGTCACAAAAAGGTTAGTCCGAGTACGGAGGAATGAAGTGGAGTAACAGCTATTAGGCAAACAAGGAATAACGAGTATTTCATCCACAACAGCCCAGAGGTGAACAGCACAGCAGTCTGTGCACTGAGAGACACCAGCAATTATATGGGAACACTAATTACTTCATATTCAATCTCTCATTTAACTGGCATAACCACAATGCAAGGGGCAAAGAAGAAAACTGAAACCTACAGAATTTAATTAGCAGAGTCAGGACTTGAACAATTATTTGATTCCAAACTGCTTTATATATATATATATATATTTAAAGATTTATTTATTTATTTATACAAGCACTGGGTACAGTCAAAAGTGTGGGAGGGTGAGAGAATTTGCCAGAGACAGAGGGGGGAACAGAACAGGCAGATTGAAAAGGAAAAAGAAAATGTCCTAAAATAAAGATGTGAGTGTGGACAGTCAGAGAGATAGACAGACAGACACCTGGTTATAGAGGGCTCTGAATGCTGTGCCTCAATGTATTTAGGTATTGTTGCCTTTCAAATCTTTTCAGAACTCTCCACAAAGGAACTAATAAAAATTAGGTTTAGATTTTAGAAAGCTAATTTGGCTTCAACAATTAGCATAAGAATTGCTTTCTAACCATCAAATTCTTAACCAATTTTTATCATCATAGTACTTTCAAGTTAAAAATCTGTTCACTGAAATTATATGCAAATACTGGAAATGCTTCTATGACCAAAGTAACATTTTCAAATGAATGTTCATGTCATTCCACATACACGTGAAAAACAACAGTACAAATCCATGAGAACTTCACTTAGTCTACAGACAAATATTTAATTTTTTATACCTAAGAGTCGCCTGTTTTTGTGTTTGAGTCATTTAAAATCCTTTTAGTAAATAAATGAAATACCAATGAGACTGAAAACTGGATATGACGTTCATTGCATTGGATGGCCACCAGTTTCCAGTTACCAGTTTATAAGTGAACGTGTGCAAAACAACAGTACAAATCCATGAGACCTTCATTTAGTTTACAGATGACACTGGTATGCACCAAGGATTCAAGTGCCCCAAGCAAACCCTTTCAGACCAGAGCACAGCTGTGGAATGATGTATTTTTCAGGGAAAGAAGAAACCATTTAGGAGGATTTTACCTAAATCAGTGGGGACCCACAGAATGCAATTCTTTAAATATCTAGCACCAACAGTGAACAAAGGTGGTAACCAACATGTCCCTAAGGATAAAATTGAAGCAGGTGGAAAAAAGATCAACTAGCTGGAGGTAACTAAGAAAGGAATCACATTCTGGTGGCTGGTTTGTCAAGGAGCTCAATTTGGCATCCCACTGGTTCTTCTACAGGGCTATAGTAACACTGAAAAACTTCCACCAAAAGGTAACAGGAAGGGCAGGTGAGCAGGAAGGTGGTGAATTAAGTGAGCCTGTCCTGCTCTGATCACAAAACTACCACTGTACCTAAACGCAACTAGAGAGCAACGTTCACTTACAAACTGGTAACTGGACACTGGTGACCATACAATGCAATGAACGTTATATCCATTTTCATTGGTATTTCGTTTATTTACTAAAAGGATTTTAAATGCCCCAAACACAAAAAAAAACAGGCAACTATTAGGTAGAGAAAATTAAAACATGTTGCATAAAAGGACTAAAATTAGAGGATCCAGGCTGCATTTTCTACCATTACATCACTGACTCCATGACCTTGCTAGAATCAAGCTCCCCCCTGCCTGTGCCTTCAAATCATTACATTATTTGGTTTAAATAAGTGTTTAATCATAAAGCTACACTGCTACATTATTAATATTCATGCAGCATTTGCAAAAAGATCATAATCTAATATCACCATGGTGAATTGCCTTAAAAGGTAGCATTTCTAGTTGCTTTGAACTGAACTAACGAGAAGTATATATACTCTTTAGTGTCAAAGCACAAGGTGAAGTAAAAATATCTTGAATGATAATAATTGGCAGAATAACAACAACTAGTCCTCATCTCTCCATTCTCTTTCCCTTAACCCTCCCACCCAAAAAATAAAAATCTTTAATTTTTGGTTTGGGAATAATACAGCAGCTCTTTAAAATCACAGATGAAGAATGGAAACAGCAAGGACATATTGACATAGACTCTGTCATCAAAGTTTTACAAGGTCACTGAGTTTCTTGACCTTGAGTTATCTGAAGCTGCAGCTGAAAATAAAGGTAGATTATATTACATATATTATATGTATCATGTTATATAACACTATACATATACATAGGTGTATGAATGACCTGCCAATGATTCAATATATGTAGAAGAAGTATAATACTTGGGGGAAATGGAGCAAGAATATTAATAAGCAGGGAAAAGATTTACATGATCATCTTCCACAATTTTCAAAATATTTATAAAATGCATTTTGAAATCAATATTTTATCTTCAGGGGCTGTCAGAGTTAATCATTTGCAGCATTGAGAGAATCATTCATTCTGCTTCTTTTGGCAAGATTAATTATTTTAAAATATTCACTTTGGTTGTGCATATTTGGTAAAGATAGATTTGGACACTAGCTAGAGAAAATAAACCTTACAGTGAACACACAGCTGTGACTTCAAATACTGAGTGTTCCCAAAGGATATGTGAATATGTAAGTTGTCTTCAATGGTATTCTCCATGGGGCAGCTACAGGGGGAGAAAAATCACCTAATTTCATTAACTATATTAAAATATGGCAATGTCACTAGAAAGACTCAGCACTCTACTAGAATTGAACAAAACAGTTTACAGGGTTGCCAAATCATTGCTGAAAACTCCTTTTAGATGGTGTGGATGGCAGTGGAAAGATGCATATATATATCATCATATATATCATATATCAACATATATCAAGCTCTATCATTATATCACAGCCCACCTCTCCTAGGCTTAGTAGATACAAACTCCCTGCCCCAAAGATCTTGCACAATCAAGGAATTTTCAGGTTTCAACAATCTCCATAATAAAAGAGAAAAAGGGTATAGAATCCAACGTAGTCACAGATTTCCTGAAGCAAATCTAGAGCAAGGAAACACACACTCCACACAGGAGACCTGTATGACTGAAAGTTGTCCCATTTCTTCCCTTCTTCTTCCCTTTATACCCAAACTCCCTCTCTACAAAAAGGCAACTTTAATTTCTTTTCTAAAATTACACAGAATTAAACATTACCAATGGAAAATTACCTCCAGAAGCCTTCACTTCAAAGTTTATGAATGAGGGAAGTTATTTCTCTTAACCACATTGCTGAGATTTTTCCATTCTCATTTCAATTCAAATATGTGTTTATTCCTCTCTCGACCTCCCTATACACCTAAGTCACCTTCAGACTAGGGCAAAGTTTCAGTTCAAAAATGATACCAAAAGCTAGTTTCTTAGACACCCGCTCCCCACTATCTAGTGGGTAACAATACACACGTTTCATTCCTTTTAGTGTAAGAACTATAACATTGAAAGTGTATTCTCTATTTTTTCTACGCATAATCATTCATTTCCTTAGGACAAATGAATTCTTTTGAAATGTTTGCTTTGGGATTACTGAATATCTTGTTTTTCCTGTGGAATATCTTTAAACCTAATTTGAATTTTTAAATATGTTGCACGTGACATCAATAGCTTCCAAATGACTGCCAGGCTGATGCTGGTAACAGTCGTCTGGCAAGCAGTTGTTCCTGTTTCACTTCTGCTGGAAAGACTACTTTTGCCTCATTTTAAAAGTCACTGTAATTTGATTTATAATCATGCACACCGGAAATCTATATAATGTTATAATGCAATATTACTCCGATTAAAAAAAAATGATAAGTCATTTTTTTCATCCAATAGAACAAAGGCCAGAACTCCTAGTATTAACCTTCTGCAGATAAGTGTAACCCTGAGACGTGGATGAAGACGCCTTTAAGAGAACTTCTTTTCTGTGCCAAGGAAGGGAATGGGAGAAATCCTTTTCTCATGTAGAGCTAGGAAATTAGCAATGAGACCTTAGTCCGGTGCTTTCGAATAGTACAAACCCTGCCTCCACCCCCGGGGCGGCGGGAAGAGCATCCGTCCTGGTGCCGCAGGTGTCTAACCTCCTCCTCGCGCCCCGCACACCGCGCGCGCTTCCTACGCAGGTACCGGCAGGCACGTGCCGGCATCTGCTGTCCCAGCCGCTGCAAAGAAACGCACCCGAGGACCCGGGGCCAGCTCTGCGCGGCAGAGAGCCATCGCCGGCGTCCCGGTGCCAACGTGGACGGGTCCCCGGAGACACTCGGTCCCGGAACTCGCCAGAGCGAGACCGTCGGGGGAAGGGCCGCGCTAAGCTTAACTGGAAAAGACAGGAGAAGCCGAGCTTGCAAAATCCCCCCAGCCCCTGGCCCTGCACTCCCGGAAAAAAAAAAAAAAAAAAAAAAAAAAAAAGCATCAGCAAACCAGACCCCGGCAGCTGCGCAGCCGCCGTGGTCAGGAAAACTGGCAGGAGCGCCGAGCGCCGGGGGCCGCTCTCACCGCGCTCCGCCCGCCCCAGGGTGCAAAGTCGTGCGCAGAAGTGGGGGTGCAGGCACTCACCTCCACCCATCGCTGGGCCTCCGCGAAGGCGACGGCGCAGTCGGTGTCTGCCTCCTCCATCCCTTCCAGGTCTAGAGCGAGAGCGGGAGAGAGAGACGAGTGGCGCGCGGAGGGGCCCGGGGTCCCGCGCGCGTCTCCGCCCGCCGCCCCGGCCTCTGCTCCGGCTGCGAGACGCCGGGGCTCGGGGTCCCTTTGTGGCGCCCTGCAGCTAGGAAGGTTTCGAAGTCACGAGGACTGAAGACGCGGCTTTCTTTAAAACTCCTGAAATCCACCCCAGGTCTGCGAGGACCGGCGCAGGGCGGCGCGGCACCCGCCCCACCAACCCAAGACTTCAAAAGTCGCAGCGCGGCCGCCGCCCTCCGGGAGCGGCCCCGCCCCGGCCCGGCCCACCCCCGCGCCCACCCCCGCGCGCACCCCGGGACCGCAGAGGCGCCGCTTCCGTCCGCCCCCGCCTCCCGGGGCTCCCGGCCGCCGCCGCCCTGCGGTCGGACTGTCTGGGCCAGGGGATGCCACCGGCCACCACGAGGCCGTGGCCCGCGCCGCGCTCGCGCACCCGCCGCCAGGACCGCGGCCCCGCCGGGAGGGGGTGCGCCCCCGCGCCCGCATCCCGCCCGCCTCCGCCCGCCTGGCCGCCTCCCCTCTCCCGGGGCCCCTGGAAGCGGCGCCCCCCCCCCCCCCGGCTGGTGGCCGCCCGGCCCGCCTGACATACCAGGAATAGCTGCACACAATTGCACCTTTCCCGGCCAAGAAACTTCCCCCGCGGGGGAGCGCGGCCCGCGGAGACTCGCGAACGCCGAGCCTGACCAGCCGCGCTCACCTGCGGCCGCAGCGGGCAGCACCGGCTTCTGTTCCCGCCAGCCCGCCCCGCCAGGTGCGCGGCCGCCCAGGCCCACACTCTCCGCCCCCTGCGGCCGCCCGGGCCCTCCTGGCGGCAGGTGAGGATAGTGGCCTTGGCACGTGCTGCCCACGGCCCGGCCCGCCCACTCCTGGGTGCGGGGGGTGGTAGGTACCTGCCCCTCCACCCGGTCTCCCCGCAAAGGGTTGGAGCGAAGGAGAGCACAGTTGCTCGCCCTCCTCTCCCTCGTTCCATTCAGTCTGGTCATTTCACCGCGCGCCCCCTTTAGCGTCAGGCTGGCCACCCCTGCTGGTTTGGAGGCACCCAGGTGGCACTGAGATGATCCAGGGTTTGGGGATTATCCATTATCTGCCCTGGGTAGGTGTGCTGGACCCACGGCCGGAAGCTCCTGGGTTGCCTTATTCACACACAAATCAGTTCATCTGCTGAAGTCTACACTCCAGAAGAGTCAATAAATGCCAATCCAGCCTAGGCTCCCTGGGACCTCGCTCCAAGACCTGGAAGCTCTAGCCAAGACGCCCATGGCGACACCTTGGAGGAAGATAAACATCGATTCTTACTCCTGTTCATGAAGTAACCCTCATCTTTCCCCTGATTGACTGTATACGTTGCGTGATGAAAAACTACGTCAAACATGGAGCAGACACTCGTATTATGAATAGTTAAACCCTAGCGCCTAGATTTAATACTTGTTTTTTACATCTTGGTATATTTACTGCAACTTTTCTCCTGAGTTTTAAATATAGATATTATATTTCATTCTAAATATTACAAATGTACATCTCTTTTTTTTTTTAAGATTTATTTATGCGTACAAGAGCTGGGGTACAGGCCAGAAGTGCAGAAGGGGGTGTTGAGAGGATTCACCAGAAGCAGAATGGGGGAACAGAACAGGGACATTGACTGAAACACACTGCTGAGGGGAGCAGCAGGCGAGACAGGAGAGGTCTGCTGTGCCAAGTGGGCTGCTCCCCGGCCGGCGGCGGGGGATCGGACTTGGGCTTCAGAGGCTGCAGACAGCTTCACAGGCTGTGTCTCAACCCCTTGCGCCACCAGAGAGGCCCCATCTCGTTTTAAAAGGGACTTTTCTATATAAGCAGATTACCATTTTCACAAAACTAATAATAACCTAGTATTAATTTATACTCAATCCAGACTCACCTTCCTCCTACTGATCCGAAAATGTCTTTTCTAGCAGACTTGGGTTCCAAACAATAACCATGCACTGTATTTGCTTACAATTTTAAACCTAAAATAGCAACCTCTCCACCCCTTTCTTCAACGCCATTGTCTTGTTAAAGAAATAGGCCTCCTGGATTTGTCTTGTGGCTTCCTCTTGGTATCTTCAACATATTTCTCTTTTCCCCTGTATTTCTTGATACCTGGAAGTTAGATCCAAAGTGTGAATTAGAATTTATTTACTCTTTTGAGTAAGGGCTTCCCCTACTTTTTCCACATTCGAGTGACTCGTACAGAATGGTTCTTATTTGCTAGACTTACTTCCCTTCATCCCGTTTTTCCACAGCACTGTCTGTAGTCCAGCTCACAGATGTTCCTGCTCAAGTGGAAGGCCACTGACTGGACCATCTCTTTTCCTCCAGGCTACATATGATCAGGCCAAACCCACAATGAGCATAAAAAGATAAAACAGGAGGCTTCCGTGATGGCCAAGGGGTTAAGTCTCAGCACTACCACCGCCTAGGCCTGAGTTTGATCCCCAGCCAGGGAGCTACCCACATGGCGCTGTAGACCTCTCCTGTCTTACCCACTACTCCTCTCAGCAGTGTATTCCAATAAATCTGTCTGTTCTGCTCCCTGCTCTGTCTCTGATGAATCCTCTCACCCTTCCTGCTTCTGACTATACCCCAGTTCTTACATGCATAAAATAAAATCTTTGAAAAAATAAAAAAAGATAAAAGAAATTGGGACAGTTTTTTCTCCTTTGGTTATTCAATAGTTCTTAAGTATTTAGTGAGCATAAAGTGTGAGGTATCATAAGTGATACAAAGGAAAAAAATATTTCCACAGCTTTCAATATATGGAAATGAATCCCACTTTCCATCCAGTGAAAGAACTGACATTCCCCAAGGTTTATGTGAGTCACAGTGACTATATATGTACATAATATGTTTAAAGGTACAGAAGTGTGAATTGACTTACAGCTTGGGAGACAGCAGCTCAGTATAGTAAGAAGTTCACAGGCTTGGGAACGTGAATGATTTAGATTACCAAGTTATGAAATTCTGTGCTTCAATTTCTTCATCTGAAAAAATGTAATAATTTTAATTGCTTCAAAGAGTCGTTATAGGAATTAAACATAATCTTGTATGTAAAAACCCAGAGCATTACTTGGCATAGTGTAGGCACTCAATAAATGATCGTTATTTTTCATTAGTCTCTCCCTAACAGTAGTGTGTCAACTATGGATTACTTCTAATAAATGGGAATTTCATTTATTTGCTCAAATACTCAAACGGAAAAAAGCTGTGGGGCATTACAAAATGCATTTCAAGTCAGCTCAGACCATTTCTGTCTCTTTAATTATGTTGCCAATTTGCAACTTTGAGACCAAAGTCCAATTCTTTGCCCCTCAGCGTGTATCATTACTGTTTTAATAATCCAGAGAGATTTATACAGTTCTCTAAAGATAGGTAAACTGCCTTAGGAGCTTACAATTAAATTTTCAAAATGGCAAAACATCAAGAATATTATTTACTTTCAAAAAATTAAGGTACCTTTCAATATTTTAAAAAATTACAATTGCCATGTCCTTAAATACTAGTGATAAGATGAAATGTTAGTGGGAGAAAGTGGTATAATCTTTCAGGAAGGTGATTTGGCAATAAAGATGTGCTGTACTATTTACAATAGCTAAGCTATGGAAACAAACCAAATACCCAAAAATAGATGACTAGATCAAGAAGATGTGGTTCATATACACAATGGAATATTACTCAGCAATCAAAAAGGATGAACTCATGCCATTCGCAGCAACATGGATGGAGATGGAAGGGATTATGCTCAACGAAATAAGCCAGAACGAAAAAAATATCTGATGGTTTCACTTATAGGAGGAATGTAGAGGAACCAAATAAGGGATGAGGGGGGAAAAAACATAATAAAGTAAAAATCAAAATCAACAGGCAATTATAGACCAGAGACATTCAGGACAAGGGTGGGGGGAGCACAAGGGACTATGGTGATGGTGCAAGGGTGAATAGGTGGCGGGAATTTCATGGGAAATCATATATTGCACAAAAATGAAGGATGATGTAATAAATATATTACAAGTTGCTCCAATTCCAACTTGTAGGAATTTGTCCTATGTATGTGAGCAAAGATAATAACATGAGCATTTGCAGTGGACACAGAGATGTGCTACCGAACTTCCTTTAGAGGAGGGATGTGGTCTAGCAGACTGTTGCCAGGTGTTTCTAGCAGTACAGAATCCTGGGAAATAAGGAGTTAACACCACGTATTGTCAACTCTCAGCAAGACAGGATGTACAGCTGATTTATTGATAGCTATATTATTTGACTAATTCATGATAAAGAGACTCCATAAGGGCTGTTCAAGTCCCCATCTGGTTTTCTCAACAACTATAATGTCTCTGACTAAGCCTCCCCCATTTGATTTACGAAATGTCTAACCAAAACAATTAATTTTGATGACCAGGTCTCAACCGTTCCTATCCAATTTGAACTACCCAAAGGGTCACAAAAAATCCAAACCATACATACTTGCTTCCTTTGTGACCTGAAGTTCACATCAGCCTCATTATCATACAGTAAAATCTGCTTAGAGGAGGAGTTGAGTGGCCATTTTCCGAACATTCAATGTACGTGGAATCATGAAATACCTCTGAACAAACTCAGACGACAGCAGGTCCCAGCACCACCCAACACCTCCAACACCAGTCACTAAAAGCCCCTTTGTCTCCTACTTGCCTTCCTTTTCCTTTAAAATCCCTCCCAGGTTCTCCCCTGGTGACACAGCGGGTTGAGCTTAGCGCTGTGAAGCTGTCTGCAGCCTTTGCAGCGTGGGTTCAATCCTGGCCGGCTGGCGAGAATCCCACATGGCGTAGCAGACTTCTGTCTTGCCCACTGCTCCCCTCAGCAGTGTATTTCATCAGTCTGCCTGTTCTGTTCTCCACTCTGTCTCTAGTGAATCCTGTCACCCCCCCCCCACACACACACGTCTGACCTGTACCCTAGTTCATGTATGTATGAATAAATAAATCTTTAAAAAAAATAAAAATAAAAAATAAATAAAAC